AGTCTCCTGGAATGGGAAGTTGTGTCCCTGTGAGTCCTGGGTCCCAAGCAATGGCCAGGGTCAGGTACAGACCCATCAACAAAACCACTTCCAGCCCCTTCAGGTCAGGGAAGGGAAGCGGAGGAGAGCTTGGCTCTGGGGAGTTGGTTGATTGCTGGGCTCCAGAAACAGGCGCAGGCAGAACCATTGTGGGGGCCTTCCCACCTCTCCAACAGTCCTGCCTGCTTATCAGGAAACCACCTAACCCCAACCAGACCTCCTGCCAATTCTCAACTAACAGTCTTATTTAATTGCAACACCAGACAGGTCTTCACCCTCTCAGATGCCCCCTTCCTCCCCAGGTGGTTACTCAAGCTCCTGACAGGCTGTTTACCCTTCACAGCAGAAAACCCATGGCTCATCCTGAGCGTTATATTCACCAGTCCTCTATCATTTCTTCTTCCCTATAACTTCCCCTCTTCAGGAATGGTTCCCTTTTGGGGCAGTATGCATTAGGTGTTTTTGTGTAACTGCAAGGTCAGTGATTCAAAACCACCAGTCACTCCTTGGGGAAAGGATGAGGCTGTCTGCTACTGTAAAGATCTATAGTCTCAGAAACCCTATGTGTGTTTCTGTGTCAGACTCAACTCAATGGCAGTGGGTATCTGTTTGGGTGATATAATTCAATCCATAAGACCTTCTTACCAACTTAGGGTGTTTCCTTAATTGAATCTGTTATCTCAGCTGCATGGCATAAAAAGAGTGTCATAGAGTTCAAGGAAAAGGAGAATTGAAAAATGATTAAAAAAATTTTTCCATGAATATTTTAAAAGCCTCTCCTATCTATCTACAGAGCTACCAGAAAATTAGAATGAAAGAGCACAAGGAAACTGTGTTGGGCTGGGTTGCATAGAGAAACAAATCCAAGGACACTCATATGTATAAGAAATAGTTCTACATCAAGAAATAATTATGCTATCAATAAAACATCCTAGCCCAGTCTAATTCAAGTCCATAAGTCTCATACAAGTCCATAAATCCCTCTTCAGACTCACACAGCCACATGCAATGATTCAGGGTGCAGGAAGATTACAGGCTGTGGGGGAAAAGTCTTGTGGATCCAATGATGGTGGTGGTGGCATTACACGGCTCTCACTAGTCTCTGAGTGACATCAACAGGAAGGTGAAGGCAGAGAGAGAGAGGTAGGCACCCAGGACCCTTCTTATGGGGAGGTCACACCCACAAGAAGGCACCATCAGGCTGTGACCTGATTGACAGGTTAGACTCCACGCCGGCACATCAAGTTGACATGAAATTATGTAACTACCACAGAAACTGCTAAAGCGCAACCATTCCATTACTATTAAATCACACACACACACACACACACACACAACAAAGCATACACTGCCACTGAGTCGATTCTGACTCATTAGCAACCCTAAACAAGGTTTCAGAAGCTGCAGGTCTTTATAGGAGCACACGGCCTCATCTTTCTCAAAAGGAGTGGCTAGTGGATTTCGAATACCTTGCTGTTAGCAGTCCACCTCCTAGCCCATAGCACTACCAGGACTCCTTCAATTGCTACTAGTTTCCCTGTATGCCTGGCCCTTTGTCAATCTCTCACCCAAGCCCCCATATCACACTCACACATGCATAAACAGACACACCATGCTTCCATAGTTATTTGAATGTTTAACTTGGACAATTCTCAAATGGACAATACAGTCTCTCCTTGTAGAGCAAACTCCCTGAGGCTAGGACCTCTCCCAATGGCAATGAATTTGGGTGCTTCTAAGAAGCCCTGGTGGTGCTGTGGGTAAGCACTGGCCTGCTAACTTGAAGGTCAACAGTTCTAACACACTAGCTGTTCCAGAGGAGAAAGATGTCACAGTTACTTAACCTGCTTCCTTAAAGCTTTACAGCCTTGGAAACCTTATGGAACAGTTGTACTCTGCCCTACAGGCCGAGCACCATCAGCTTTCTTCACCACATTTGCTTGGTGCCCAGTTATCAACAGATATAGCATCTGGTGTCTTAAA